TCGCGCGTTGGCATCCCCTTTACCTTTATCCTGCGTGACATTCTTCAGTTCGACAAGGTACGACATGCCCTTCCTCCCCGCTCCTCCCCACTTCTCCCGTCGCTACTCAGTTCCTCTGTGTTTCTTCGTTTTCCTCCCCCTCTTCTATTTCTTTCCTCTCTCTCTCTCTCTCTCTCTCTCTCGTTTTCCTTGCCCTCTCCACCAACGCGCGGTCGCAATTTCATGGCTGGGCCCGAACGATAGACCATCGAAGACGCTCGCCAACGCATCGCCGATGCGCCACGCACCTGCAACCTGATTCTGGGTGTTGGTGACGGTAAATCGAGCGAGTTTAACGGTATCGAATACTCATACTCGGTGGCCCGCTTCTTTACCGATACCGATAACGAACCCGTCGCCGACTGGCACCCGCGCATCAATGACATTGTCTACTACGGCATGGACTGGCTCTGCCCGGGCTACAACCAGGTCCTTGGCGAGCAGCTTCAAAAGCACCATGGCAACATCACGGCGGAGAACACGATCCGCGACATCACCGCCATTACCCAAACCGGTGACCTTCACATTGCCATTTACGACCTCGAGCATCAAATCCTTCACACCGCCAACGCGCGCCGCGACTCTGCCGATGGGCCCAACTACGCCTACCAGCGTCCGTTTGTCAAGGTATGCACCAGCCTCTTTTTTTCCATGTGCAAAGCAGCGCCTGGGCGCCCTGCATGCCAAAGCGCACGTCACGTCACTCGATCATTGCGTTGACCCTTGCCCTGCGTGCCCGTACACCCTTCCTCAATTCCTTAGTTGGACATGAAGGCTCTCTTCGAAGTAACCCTCTAAACGGGATTGATTTTGAAAAAATGGCCTTGGCTTCCTTCCCATGCGCCACTGTGTTCCCGCCTCTTCTTGGTTTTGGCGAAGTATACGACACGCCCTGCTTGTTCAAGTAATTGAGGCCGTGCTGACATCTCCCCCCACCACCTCTTCACCCAACAACACACAACACCACCAACCCGTGTACTCTTGACCATCATTGCACATTCATCATGCCAGCGACCACGAGTGCAACTAGTCCATCGTTGACGTCGCGATATTTGGCTTCGGTCATGCCACCAGATTCCACCTGAGTGTAGGCCTCGCCCTCTTCATCAAGCTCATCAAACTCCTCGTGTTTGTCGTATTCGAGATCCTGCTGCTCACCGGCCAGTCACAAAGGCTTGCCCGCTGCTGGACAGCACGACACGCCATCACAATACAAAATAAAATTTTAATGTTCATCCACAACGAATCAAAAGCTTTCCCTCTTTCTTCTGAATTTTTTCATTTATTTTTTTTTTTCAAAGGACTCCAAAGCTGACAGGACGAGATGGCGGCCGATGACGGGCCCAAAGCGGGCGATTCCTTGCCGTTGGCCGGGTCAGATTATCTTCTGTACGGCCTATTAGTAGCTGCCTTGGTCATATTTGTTCGTCGCCTCCTGCATACGCCCGCTAATCCTCTGGTCAGTTCCTCCACCCGCTACTTTTGCTCCACCTCACCATGTTGAATCTTCGAAGCCGGCTCCGTTCTCCTCCTGTCGATTCATGAGGTAACGCTTGGATACATGCACAGAAGGGCAGTGCCCGTCGCATGGACGTTGATGCTGGCAAGCAAGACTAAGGATTTGCGGCAGATTGACGAAGCAAAATCTCTTCGTCTCACTCCCAACCGATGCACGCTTTTCCCTGCTCCCTCTCCCGTCGCATGGCATCGCAACGGACTGTCCTGAAGGCCAAGGCGTTCAGCCTTGATCCATGCCGTACCGCCTGAGCTTCATTTACGTGTTTGAATATGCGATCCAGGCTTCACCCTGCTCGCTCCGCGCTTGTTCACAGCCGTGCTGACTGAGCAAGCCATCAACTTGATGTGACTAAATCTGAAATTCGACCCCTCAACTTGTTATAAATCACTCAAAAGGATGAATCGGCAAATAAGCGGCTTCACTTCACAAGCACACGAGGAAGAAGAAAAAAAAGGGAGGAAGTGCAAGGGCTAACTACACGGACTTGGAGAGCAGGAGCAAGGCAGGGCACGCGCGTTGCACGAGGTTCCCAAGCCTGCCATGCTAAAGCAACACGCATCACAACTACACGAGACAACAGCAAACATGCAACAGAGCCAAGTCACAACTCGTTCCAACAACATGCGCCGCAGAAGCCTCAAAAGTCTTCACTCAGCAAGCGATCAATCTCGTTGTCCATATCCTATGGGCCCAAACGCAGTACGTGGCAAAATGAGAAGAGTGCTCAACCACCCCCGGCAGCGCCGGGACAGGGCTCAGTGCCATCCGGCTCTCAATACACAAACGCAAGGCACACTCACAAGAGCAGGCGGTTCCGAGTCTGATGTAGGCTTTGTTTCGGACGACTTTCGAACGGAGCTGCGGCGTCCAGTGGAAGGCATTGAATCATTATCCAGCAACAACTCGAGATCGTCATCATCGTAAATCTTCTCGTTGTCTTTGCCCGCAGACAAAGCCTCTTGACGCATCTCTTCCATCAGCGCCTGTGCGTTCATAGGCGCAGACGTCGCCGCTGAAGAAGGACTGGGCGATGCTGTCACGGGCGTCTTGCGCGCCTCGGCGCCAGGACCAGAGGAAGAAGATGCGCGTGTTGGAGTGGTCCCGGGTTGCTTCGCAGTGGTCGCTGGAATGGGTTTGGGCGCAGTGGCGTTGGTGGTTGGTGCCATGCGCGGGGTTGGCTTTGAAATTGACACGGGAGCCGGTACGGCGCGCTTGACCTTGGTGGCGGGGGGCTCAGCAGATGATGATGCACTTTTGTTGGGCTGAGTCGGAGCCACGGATGTGCTGGAGGGAGTCTGCTGCGGGTGGCTAGAAGCGCGCTTGGCTGATGAAACAGCAGACTCTGCACTGCCCGCAGCGCGACCGGCCGTCACAGTCGGTTTGGTCCCACTTGCGACGGCCTGTGTTCGAAGAGAAGGAGAAGCACTCTTGCGACGTGCCTGGGCAGAATCGGCGGCTAAAGAACGAGTCAAACCAAGCAAACAAGCAGCCATGAGCACGCCACGCCACACACCCAGTTTGTCATCATCCAAGTGAAAGAGCGGGGGGGAAAGAGTTTTTTTTTTTTTTTTTTCAGAGGTTCAATCATCAGAATTCAGCCCGACTGCAAAACCTCGCATCAAAGACGAGTGCCCAATCATGGGACTGCCCACCAACCTCGTTTTGCTTGAGCTGCTTCGCTCGACGCTTTGGCAACTGCACGAATAACGTTGGCAACCGCGGTGGTGCTGCCATCGCCCTTGGCCCGCTTGGCGGGACGGGCTTCCTTGGAGGGGGCCAATGACCGGTGCGTTGCCGCCGCCGGCGGTGACGTGCTCTTCTTCGGAGCCGCTACGCGATTAGCACGAATAGTACTCTGAGATGAGGCCTCTTTCTGGTTCGGCGCGGTAACGCGAGCCGGTTGTTGGCGGCCCTGTGGCTGCTGATGGCGCTGACTCTGCACTGGTTGTCCCTTTGCGTTGTTGGGTTGCTGAGAGGGCGACTGCGGTTGGGAAGCCGGGGACGTAGCCCCCGGGCCCTTAATCCGATCAAAAATGGAAGACCTCTTGGCTGTTGTTTTCGAGACAGGCACCGTGGAGGGTGCAGTTGCGGGGGTGGACACTGGAAGATGAAGCAATGAACGATGACAGCAGTTAGGTGGGCGATGACACACGCACACACACACACACACACACACACACACATGGGTTATCTCGCAGCACAGATTGTTCAAGCAGGACACAAACCTTGTGGCTGGGCGGAGGAGCGACGTGGCGCGAGTATGGTCGAGGTTGCTGGCGCCACCACCGCGGTGGTGGTGGTGCGAGGGGGTGAATCGGAATGCTTGGCGATCAAAGCGGCGACCAATGAACCTTGTCTGCTCGAGTGATACATGTGCACGATCGCCGGGAATATGAGCGCATCGCGCCACCCAGCAGTTGCAAAGCCAGGGGAAGTGTCAGCGCAGAAGACGGTCGACATACTTGTTTGATTGTTGCAGAGCAGCTTCGTCGTGGCGGCGAATGTTGTGCTCGATGTGTCGCAAGCGACCATTGATGCGAACTGTGCCTGGCCCTTGTTCGACTGCCGTAGTTGTGGCTGATACAGGTGGGGCGGTTCGCACAGCAGGCGCATCGGTCACATGAGATGTCGTAGCTGAAGCCTTCTTGGAGCTGAGGCGATCAAAGATGGAATTGTTGCGCTGTACGGGTTGTGCGGGCTGTGTGGCCAGCCGTGCTGATGCTGGTGTGGATGAAATCGTAGTAGCAGTTGCGGGCGTGTGGTGGGCGCTCGGCGCCAAGGCGGATAGAGAGATCTTGGTGGTTGGGGCGACTGAAGAGGAGGGACGCTGTGCATCACTTTGCGCAGCTTGCCGGGCTTGCTGCTGTCGCTGACGCTCCTGCATCTGTTGCTGTTGCCGGCGGCGGATATCGAGCAGCTGCTCCTGCAGCCTCAGCTCCTTTTGGAGCTGTTGTGGCGTCTGGAACTGCATGGGCGCTGGGGGTACCATCGCTGCATTGGGGTGGGGCTGAATTCCGGGCGTAAAGATGGCATTCTGCCGCCTATAGTCCGCCTCGGGTAGGAAGGCACGACCGTTTGTCGCCTGAAAAAAGGCCGGAGATTGGTTGGTGGTGGTGGTGGTGGGGACGAAAGCAGGGGCATCCGGTCGCAAGGTTGGCGCCTGTGCTGGTGCTGGTGCTGGTGCTGGTGCTGGTGCTGGTGCTGGTGCTGGTGCTGGTACCGACGTCTGGCTCAATGTGTTTCGTGCAATAGCACGCGGTTTGCTGTGAAGGTAGGGGCAATTGGGGCGGGTACAGCCAGAAGGCTGGGTTTCCCAATAGCAAGGCTGGTGGGTGCGGTCTCGCTCATCGGCATAGTGACGGAGGGGACAGTCCATGTTGATGCAAGCGTTCTGCTGCCATTGCGGGCATACGGTGCTGATGCGTTGGGCAGATACGCTGTGGCGAAAGGGGCACGCGGCACCCTAGAATAAAAAAGCGTGCAAGGCAATGGACGGAAAAAGGGCAATGACGAGACGAAGGCCGCAGCAGGGGGGAAAAAGTGGAAAAAGGGAAAATGCGTCGCTGGTCAAGTCGTGTGGACACAGAGAGAAAAAAAGACAAAGGTGGGGCGCCGCGGCGTTGAGAAGAGTGGAAGGGCTGGTCTGTAAGAAGGCTCAGCGAGTGCGCGATGCGGGGGCCAACACCGCGACACTGCCGCAAAGACTGGGAACGCAGGAGAGAAGGCGCTGAAGAATGGTCTTGGGACCTCGCCCGAGGGCAATTTCAGGACGCAACCTTCTGGCCAAAAAAATTTGCCCTTTTCATCGCTCCTCTCCACTCTGGTGGAGTTGAAATTGAGCAGGGAGAAATGGGACAAGGCTGGTCCCAGTCTGTGCGGCAACTTCCACGCAGCCAGCGCCTCTCGGCGGTCGCCTTGTCCAACGTGAGATGAGATGAACCGCGGGCGGGAGGACAGAATATCATGTCGCGAATGGGTGCCGGGCACAAGAACCGGAATCCCCGGTTCAACGAGGAAGATCAAACACGTGCATCAAAAAAAGACGCTACGTTGGACAAGCGGCGACCGACCAAGAAGCCGGTACTGCATGGAAATTGGCTGGGGTGTTGCGATGCTTTAAGAAGCAGCAAGCAGGCCCATGACCCGGAAAGGATCAAAAGACAACTTGTCCAGCAACATCGCGTAGGCGACTGACTAAGAGCCAGTGTCGCGGCGGGCAGAAGCATAGGTACAAGGGGCAGCGTCCTCTGGCCTGATGTCTGCTGACGGCGTACAACGGGCTTGGGTTGCAGATGGTGCCTCCAGCAGACCTGACCCGCTTCCTGTCTGCGTGCATTGCACACAGACAGGAAGAACTCCGCACGTCCACGACACAGGACAGGAGAGGCACAGCAGCTTGTGATTTTCGTCTCGCTCTTGTTTTTCCTGTGGTGCCTTTTTTTTTCTTTTTTTTTTTTTTTTTTTTCATCGGGTGTCTTTACTACCAAATCCCGAGCGAGCATCTCTCCCTCCTAATTCCCACTTTTTGATCTGACTGACACAACCAGGCACATTGACAAGAATGTCTGGGATGGCTGGGATGGAGCGAAAACCGTACCTTGCGACAAGAAGAGAAGAGAAAAAAGCGGCAGTCGTTGAGAGCCGAGTTGGCACCGGGGGTCGGCAGAGCCGCACCCTCGTAGTTGGCAAAGTGCGCCATTGAAGGTGGTGTGTCGGACCTTGCACTCGCAATCAAGTCAAGGCTTGAGAACGGAGTGCGCTCGTCGATACGAGCGATATCTTGGTGTGTCCTCTCACCAAATCAAAAAGTCTGCCTCGTCGGCGTCGTCGGCGTCGTCGGCGTCGTCGGCGTCGTCGTCGTCGTCGGGAAACGAATGTTGGGACGCAGCGACAATCGCCACACCTCGCACATTAACTTTGGACTCGGTCCAAAACTTAGTAGCAAATCGTGGCAAACTTCAATGCAAAAGCACGGGGGATCAGTGGCTCATCAAAAAGGCGAGCCCCGCCGTGACGCTGCCCTTTTCACGGCAGAAAGAGTGAGAGAGTGAGAGAGAGAGAGAGAGAAAATGCAAGAAAAAGCGTTTTCAAAGCGAGAGAGTGAGATCTGGCAGAATGTGTTGTGGAGAGATGTTGCCAGACACGGTGCTCGTTCATGCTTAAAACACAAGGTCTTTCAGAGATGAGGCGCCAGTCGTTCCAACGACAAGAGATAACGTGAAAAGGTTTAGCATCCGCTTGCAAGCGATGATTGTCAGAAATTTACTGCCCGTTTGCGTTTGCAGACATCGCACTTTTTCCTCTCTCTCTCTCTCTCTCTCTCTCTCTCTCTCTTCTCTCTCTCTCTCTCTCTCTCTCTCTCTCTCTCTCTCTCTCTCTCTCTCTCTCTCTCTCTCTCCTCTCTCTCTCTCTCTCTCTCTCTCTCTCTCTCTCTCTCTCTCTCTCTCTCTCTCTCTCTCTCTCTCTCTCTCTCTCTCTCTCTCTCTCTCTCTCTCTCTCTCTCTCTCTCTCTCTCTCTCTCTCTCTCTCTCTCTCTCTCTCTCTCTCTCTCTCTCTCTCTCTCTCTCTCTCTCTCTCTCTCTCTCTCTCTCTCTCTCTCTCTCTCTCTCTCTCTCTCTCTCTCTCTCTCTCTCTCTCTCTCTCTCTCTCTCGGACGCGCGCGCGTGAACTGCTGAGCTGGGTGACGGGGGGCGATCGATCGAGGGACGCTTTGGAGATTGCTGCGGCGTTTGATGTAGAATTGGTACAACCCGGCACGAATCGGCACAACTCGGCACGACTCGGCACGACTCGGCGCGACTCGGCACTGACGCGTTGGGATCGGGTTGTGACGCTGTCCGAACATGGCGCGTTTGGTGTGGCCGAGGCAGAGTGGTCTGCTTCTGGGTGTTGTTGTGGTGGTGGTGTCGCTGTTGGCAGCCAGGCTCGAGGCCGCAGAACTGAATCATGAGCACCACGAAGATGACGCTGCCACCACGTCGGATGAGACGTCTCACCAAAACACCCTCATTCAATTCTTCCTCATGACAGCCGCCATGTTTGTGGGCGCCTTTGCCGCGGGTTACCTGCCCTTTCTTCTGCAGCTCTCGCCGGAACGGTAAGCCAAGCTCTCCGGCTGGTCCTGATCGGATTGGGTCCATCAACCTCTTTTTGCCTTGGAGTACCACCATGCTGTTTGTCAATGATCTGCACCGCGCGCAAGTCGACACGACCCGCATTGCCTCATTGGAATCGGTTGCATGTGGGATTTGGCTAGATTCAAGGCCATCAACGTCGTCGGCGCTGGTGTGCTCCTGGGCACGGCCCTCATCGTCATCATTCCAGAAGGCATGCACATGATGCAGGCTGCTCAGGCCCAGTATGCCGAGACCCTCGCCCAGGCCACCACGACTGAGCACCTCAGTGAGACTCACGAGCATCAACACGAACTCGAACACGAACACGAACACGGCCATGGTCATGGCCACGAACACGCAGCCGGGGAATGGATCATTGGCGCCAGCATCACCCTTGGGTTTGCTCTCATGCTTGTTGTCGAACGACTCAGCGGTGGCCACCACAGCCACGAACATCAGCCTGCCAAGCGCTCCCTGCCCACCAGTGGCATGTGCGTCCCCTCGGGCCCCGCGAAACCTCTGCTCGCTTCGTTTCAGCTCGACTCACTGTGCCCCTCCTTCTTGGCCTCGCCATGTTCCACAGTGAGGATTCTTCCAGTACTGCAAATACAGCCCCACCCTTGACAGCTTTTGTCGGCTTGGTCATCCACGCCTTTGTCGATGGCGTCGCCTTGGGTACGTACGAACGGCTCTCCTTTCATTCATCTCGCGACCTTGTCTGTGCTCCCCCGCGAGCTTTATGCGTTGGTCGTGCATGGCTTGATATCTGACTCTCACCTCGATCTTGCGCCTGTGTGGGGGTGCGGGACTGGCTCGAGCAGGGGCCACTGCAGGACAGGGTCACCTCGACACTTCATTCTTGATTTTCGGAGCCATCATGCTGCACAAAGGTATGTGGCCGATGCGGTTTGCCAAGCCTGACTCTATTTGTTTGCTCGTGGACTCATCTCTTACGCGTGTGGAATTCAGCGCCCGCTGCTTTTGGGTTGACAACCTTTCTCATGCAAACCAGCCTCAAGCACCGTGACGTACGACGCCAACTGCTTCTTTTTGCTGCCGCCGCGCCGGTGCGTTTGCTTGTTGGCTGGTTTTCGTTAGGTTGGCTCAGATGAGCCTCCGCCAACAGCCACTCTGTTTGGTGTGACCGCTTTTTACATGTATGCTGCCCGGGTCGCTTCTAGATTGGTGCGGTGGTGACGTTTTACGCACTGTCCCTGGGCCTCTTCTCATACCAACTGCAAAGCCTGGCCGTCGTCATGCTGTTCTCAGGTAATGGCAATGATTGTCTCTGGATGGCCTTTGGCTGGGATGACCCCGCTTGCTGAACTTTTTGTCACATTCAAAAGAAATGGAGCTCCACGGCCCACGAAAGGAACAGAAAAGGGGAAGGGCCCGCTGACTCGTGGCTTTGATATCTATCTATTCTGATGTCGCGTTTGGTATTATTAGGCGGCACGTTCTTGTTCGTGTCGACGATGCACATTCTTCCCGAAGTCATGGGGCATGAGCCCCTCTCTTGGGGTTACACGGGCCTCCTCGTGAGCTCGATGCTCTTCCCAATCCTCATCAACTTTGAGCACGGCCACTGATGCGCCGCGTCTGCGACCACGTGGTGCAACACGTGTCATCCCTATGTCACACGCGGGGCACGCAGCGGACCCAAGGTGATGGTGAGCTGAGTAGGGGCGGCGATGACCGGCACTGCGCAACGACATGGGTGCCCTTGAGTGTAGCGCTGGTGGTGTGAGAGAAAAAAAAAAAAAAAAGAAAGAAAGAAAAAGAAAAAAAGGCCCATCGCGTCGCGTGGGTGCTTCTTTGTGGCCGAGTATGTATTGTGTGCCTGGGCCAGCACGTGCTGTTGTAGGCCCATGTTGAACCAGAGTGCTCGCCGTGCGGGTGGTGTTGAATCGAAGTCATTGACATGTGTCGTCGCGCCAACGGCAAGAGAAGACGCGGTGCTTACCAGAAGTAGGCTACCGAGCGTGGTTCAGAAAAGCCGACATCAAACTCAATGTCTACAGGGAAACACATGGCAACCACCAGTCAGATGGGACTATGCACCTGTGCACACTAGCGTGCCGCTTGTGTGGGCGAGCCCGCACCTTCAACGGAGACCCATGACTGGTCAATGCGACGAATGTCAGTGGCAACCGCTTCGTTCGTGGCGGCGGGGCATATTTCAATGAGGTCCTCGATGATGGTTTCGCGCATTGAGCGTGGCTCATCTGACTTCTCGGTGTCGTCAGCGATGTCAAGGAGCATGCCCTCAGAGTAGGGACTGAGGGCCTCCCACAGCATGATGACTGCGTCCACCGTGTGGTCAAACTCAAACTCAGCTTCGAGTGCCAGGCCAACATCGAGCGCGGGGTCGGATGCGCAAGCGGTGGTCATAATGGAGCCGGTGGGGTTGGACATGGTGGATTGTGCCATGGGCGGCACGTCGGTGCGCTTGGTGAAGCCCATCTCTACGCTGCTGTGTCTACGCATTGGCATGGTGGGCGGGGCTGTGCTGGGACGGCCGGCCTGAGCCTCGTGCCCTTCAGTTACCGAGGTGGGTCGCCTCGAGGTGGACTGGCCAGCTGCTGGGGCTTGGGAATGAGCTGTGTGACGCAACTCCATCATGTGCTGCACAAAGCCCCAGCGACCGCGCGCCGAGTGGGGCATGGGAAAGTCGGGGTACCAGTCAGAAGAAAAGGAGGACCAGGATGCCACTTCAAGGCTTTTGCAGTAAAAACCTAGGGCTTGGCTGACGGCATGGGTGTAGTCTGTACGCCGACGCCGGCGAATGTTGGCGTGGGCCTGGCGATGGGCCTGGGCCAGCGTATCCAGATTACCCAGGGCCACGGAGCGTCGCCGAATGCTGGGCGCCGGTTGGGCCTGAGCGGCCATGTGCTGCTCGTGTGCAATGCGGGTGCGCAGCTCCTCCTCGGTGGCTGGCCGCACCTCCAGAAAGGCGCTATTGCGCAGCGAGCGCAGTCTATTGGTCAGGTCATTGAGCATGCGCCACCCACCCAAAAGCTGATTGTTGTTGTGACAGCTGGAAGAGCAAGGCGCGAGTGAGGTGAGCAGCCGCGTACGGTCTGAAGCGCAAGAACGCAAGGCGCAGGCTGATAGCCCGTCCGAGCGCGCTTACCTGTCTGATGTGTCGCGGTACATAAAGCGGCGCAACGGGCCATCTGGGGTGAGAAAGTCGCTGGCGGTGGTGAAACGAAACTTGCAAAATGCAGCGGTCGGACCCTTTAACTTGGGGCTGTCTTGCTGAACAGCGACGCTGGTCACGCCACTCTGATGCTCTGCAATGGTGTCCAGGGTCGGCAGAGTACTCTCTGTGTTGGTTGTCATGAGGGCGTGCTCGATGAGGTTGTTGCGCTGTTTGGATGGCGTGTCCTGTTCTTCCTCATTCTGATTGTTGTCGCCTTCACTGTGCAGAAGGCGCCGAATGTGGAAGCCGCAGCCACGAGGCTGGTCGATGGTCTCGTAAAATTCATAGGTTATCATGTCAGGCAGGTCTGACGACCGGACGGCATACCATTGCCCGCCTGCAGGCTGGGGCGAAATCATGACTGCGGTTTGAGTCGCTGAGGCTGCTGCTGCTGTGAAGAGTCAACGAGAAAAGGCAAATATGCCACCGCGCCCAAAAGGATGTGCTCGACGAGCCGCTGATTCTGGTCGAGGACAGCTGAGCGGACGCTGGCCAGCTGTCCTTGGTTGAGTCGCGACCTAGTGAGTTGGCGTGAACAGGTGCAGGAATGAACAAGGGTGATAATTCGGCGCGAGCACCGCCGCAGACCCTCACAAGCATCTTCATACGTGAGCCGTAAAATTTTTGGCGTCGTCGAGGCAGCACTTGAGCGTTTCTTTTTCTTTTTTTTGGGCAGAGGCGCCACAACTCACCCACGAGCTAAACGCAGGGTCACACCGCTCGACACGGACCGTCTACCTATCCGTCGATTAAATAAACATCAACATCCGAGCTGTCAGGTTGATGAATTGAGTCAGTCCGCGCGCACGTTTGGGTTTCTGCCGGCTGCTCTGCTCCTTCACGCCCTTCACGCTTCTCTGCTTGGGGATGATGACAAGACGGTGTCTCTGGAGAAGAGTATAGAATTTGCAATTTCTCTGGATTTACCTTTGTTTCGTCAAAGAGCTGTACATAAGAGATGGCTGCTTGTCTGTGTATGAGCCCGCCTTTGCCCTGTTACTCTTCTCGCTGTGGCTGTACGGTTTCCAAGTCTGGGCTATTGTTTTTTTTTTCACTGTTTATGCATCTGTTTGGTGCTGCGGACCAATCGTCACAGCTGCCACACGTGCCCATACATACGCCCCTCTCCTCCCCGCGCGGCCTTTGCTTCACTCGCCTCTTCCGCAACATGGCTGCCGTTTAGCCGGGTTCGCGCCGTGGGCGGCGGCGGCGCGAGTTGGATGTGCGAGTGTGTGTGAGAGAGGCGTGCCTGCATTGTTTCTGGAGCCACTGCCATTCCCGGTCATTGTTATTTCACCTTGTTGAAGCTATGCAAAGCGTTTTTGAAGAAGATACTCGAGCTTTTGTAGCTTGTGTTCACGTTTATGTTGGTACTGCTTGAATGTCCAAGTGATCCTTATTAAGCAGCATTGAGGTTCGTGTAGTAAAGTATGAAGTTTCTGTCGTGAAGGACGCACCTTCTTGCTGCTCTTTCCACTCTTGCTGCCGTCAAGGCCCATAACAACACGACCAGGGCAAAGTCACAACAAGAATGCACATGTACGTAAGCATAGTGCCACATTGTTTTATGGCTTTATGGCTTTAAACAATCGTTTCACAAAAAGTCAGCTTTTTTCAGAATGTCAGACAATACCACCAGCCAACTCAATGTCAGATGTCAGATCCACTCTGCTGCAAAGTTGAATACGCGAAACACATAAAAAACCCTGCCAAACAGTACGGAATCCCGCAAAGCCAGCGGCGTCGCCCGTCGAGTACATTTGGTAAACGGGACCGCAATCTGCCAGACATCTCTCTGCCGGTCGCGCCGCGTCCCCCCCCACTGACTCCTGCGCCGCCTCCGCTTCCTCTGGCCCCCGACCCGCCTCTTCCTCTGCCTTCTACTCTGCATCTTGCTTCCCTTGCCTCTTTCCTCTGGCTATCGCTGTTTGACGAATGCTGCAGGCGGTACCACAGCTGGGTTGGGATTCAAAAGACTGTCGACTTGTGTAAAAGGGACGACATTGAGCTTTGTCGCGGCCGACGGCTCCGACTTGACCGCTGGTCCAGCTCAACTCTTCGTGCGCCTCTTCCTCGGCAGAGCCAAGCGGCTTCCATCACTTGAATTGTCGCGTGCTGTGTGCCGAAACGCCCCTCGTGGTCGCCTGCCCCCGTATAGCTGGGGCGACGGCGACTGAACACCCCTTTATTGTCCCTCGCAGTTGTGTTTCTACCCGCGCCGCCTGCTCAGTCGCTTCGAGCCGCGGTGATAACGGTCAAGATGGCGACCCTTGCTTGCTAAACCACCATGTTCCTTGCCTCTTCCCGTCGTCTCGCCCAACGGGCTCGTCCCGCACCTCGCCTGCACCCTCGCTCGCGACCCCACTTTAAGCCATGGCGAAGCAGGTTGACTTGAAGCAATCCAATCGGTAAGGCCTTGCATAACCCGACGTATGTTGTGAATGTCTTCAACGCACCCTTGAGTCAAGCGCACAAGTTTGGCCAATTCCACTGCAGTCATTGCCCCAGGGCCCCGACTGCATGTTGCATACCATTTATTTCCCCTCCCCCCTGCGCTCCCCCCTGCCTCCCTCCGAGAGCCAACTTTGAAGCTCTCCTGCGCCCTTCCCTTCTTTGCTTCCCCCCGGCCATGCTCAAGTCGCCCGCTTCGTCCCGTTCCCGCTCTCGCTCTTTTGCCTCACATCATAGGCCGGCTCCGGCACCAACACATGCCGCTGCTTCAACGCCCATCTCCACGAAATCAACACGCCAACACGCCGGCGCCGCTGCCGCAACTTCAGGCAAATCCATCCAGCAACCCCCGAGCCGCAGCCATCGCAAGACCAAAATGGCCATCAACAACGGTGCGCCCTCGGGCGGCCGAAAGGCTTCCATGAACCATCTTCTCGGCTTCCAGGGCCACCGTTCCCACCGCCGCGAGGGCGATGATGATGACTTTGGGGGCGCTGCCTACAGCCCCAGCCGCGCGCGTGGCATTCGCCACAACCACGCTGGTAGCAGTGCCGCTGCGCTCACTCTCAGCCGCGAAGAATATATTCAAGCCAATGCTCATTTCTATGTCCGCGACACCTGGCTCCTCGACCGCCCCGTACGTCAAGCCATCAGCACTTGCTGTACCTTTTGTACACCCTCTCTCCGCTTCTTTTTCAAACAAAAAAAATGCGTGCTCACCTTGCTCCCGCCACGCTTTTGTCCTCGTTGTGCAAACGGCTTGTGACACGTATAGCGCCTTCAACCCGACACGCAAGTCGAGTGGTCTGACGTGGTTCAAGTCCTTTATCGCTCATCTGAAGTCCAGCACTGCCCAATCTGCCTCGGACCACCCGCTGCAGCCCAGACCACCCGCTGTGGACACGTCTACTGCTGGAGCTGCATTCTGCACCATCTCGCCCTCGCCGAAACGGCTTGGGCTCCTTGCCCTTTGTGTGACGACTTTGTGTACGCGCGTGACCTTCGCTCTGCTGTTGTCATTCATGTCGAGCACCCCAAGCCCCACAAGCGTCAGCGCCTCCAACTCATGACCAGCCTGCTGGAGACAGCGCTTGTCACACCGGCCCACAACATCGAGGCCGTCCTAGCTGACCCCAACCCATACACGTCTGCCCTTACCTCCACCAAATACCTTCGCTTCCACGCCATGGAGCCTCTGGCCCAGGAACAGGGTATCTTTCTGCGCGAGGCCTTGGACCTCGACATGGAGCTGACCGAGTGCACCGAGATGGGCAGCGACCCGACCCACATCAAGGCTGCCCAGGCTGCCTTACGTGCACGCTGGGTCGCCGTGCGCCCCGATATGCAACAGGCGACCCTGGCCCAGCTCGTCGCCCATGCCCAGCGCCGCCTCTCCGAGCCCACATCTACCCGCCCCAGCACCAAAGCCAACACTGCAACAGATGCTGATCGTCCTGCGTCGCCCGTGGCGACACCTGCCAGCTGGGTCGAAGCTCCAACGTTTGTTCCTGGGCAGGGGCTAGTAGATGCCCAGCGACCCACTCCATCAGCCGAGTCGAAACTCATGCTCGAGGCTGGGGATACCTCTGTGCATCTGTCGACTCAAGACCCAAGCCTTCCGTTTGCAGTAGCCGATGCCAGCGTGCCCGCCTCTGTGCAGAATGACGGGGCGGGGTCGAGTGAGGACAACCCCTCTCTGCGCCAGCTTTTGGCGCCGGGCGCTCAGATCTACCGCTTTTATCAGGCAGATGATGGCAATTTGGTCTTTTTGCATGGCGTGCAAGATAAGATGATGCGTGCCGAATTTGGTGAGGACCTCGCTGGTGCCCCAGAGCGGTTAGACGTGGTGGTGGAGGACGTGGAGAGCGTGGTGGTGGACCGCGAGCTGCGTGTACGTCGGCCACAATTTGCGCACCTCCCCCTTCATTGTCGCCTTTTGCGCGTTGAGGTGGACCTGCGATCTGTGGTCAGCGCCCAAACCCTGGACACGTTTCAAGAGGCTCTGCAGCGACGTCGTCGCCGCCGCCGCCAGCGCGATCGGGACGACGAGCAGCGTCAACGCCGTTTTGCCCAACGGGAAGAAGCAGCCTGGCGCAACACCACGTTTGAAGCGGCGCCTGCTGTGGCTCTGCCCGACCTCTCTGAACAAGCCTTTCCCGACATGGTGCTGAGCCAAACGCCTCCCAGCGACGGGGGTGCCAGTGGAACTGGCACCACACCACCACGACGATGGGGCCCACAACCAGTGATGACGCGGGATGAACAAGAGTTTCCGTCACTAGGCCCCTCGCTTTCTGCATCGCCTGGCACAAGTGCATTCGCTCGTGGCTCGGAGGGTCCACGCTGGGCCAGTGGTGGATCTCGTGCCAGTGCCCGCCAGCCTGATCCCGTCCCGCTAGCTGTGCGCCATGCCCCCTCCTGGGGGACGACCACTGCGGCGAGCGATCCTGAAGACGGTGAAGACGATGCCGTTTCTCGTGCCTACAAGCCTCGCGCCTACGGTGACTCTTTTCTGGCCCTCGATTTCGAGATTAATCTTCGTGATGCTGCTCATCTTCGCCAGACCACTAACCCCTCCGCTGGTCCCAGCGCCAATAACGGAGCTGGTAGTGGGGCTGGCGGGCAACGCCGAAAGAAGAAGGGTGGTCGTCAGAAACAAATCCTCTTTGCCACTTGAGGTGGTCATCTCTCCTCTTGACGATTCAGACTGGCGAGGGACACCTCACACCGATTGTTGGCTCCTTTCCTAGTCCCTCGAGATGTTTCTCTCTTTTGATCTCTGGCGGTTTGCTCCAACAATTGAAAAAAAAAAAAAAAAAAAAAAAAAAAAAGTGGCTGATCACCGATAAACTGCCAAAGTATCACATTTGTTTCACTTTCTCCTGTATCACGAAAATTTGGATTTCGCTCTCTCTCTCTTCTCTCTCTCGTCGCGTCGCGTCGCGTCTCGGTCAACGGCAGTGCCGGCATCAGCATCTGTTGCAGGAGGGTGTGGGCAGGGATCTGGCATCATGAGCGTGTCCTTTGGACCCGCGTGCAAGACCACGGGGCTGGTCGCGTTCTCGCCCAATAATGACTTTGTGGTAAGCCCCTGTTTCGGTCCGGCGGATTGTAGGCATGCGCTCACGCACACGCCGCTGTTAACCCGATCTGCGCAGGCCACGACTCGCGAGCACGTCTTGGTCATTCGGCATGCGCATAGCTTTGAAATCTTTCAGCGCCGCCCTGCTCACGATCAGATTGACTACTTGGAGGTGCGGCCCTTCTTCGGACTTTCGCCTCTCGCCCAGACACTCGGACTGTGTCATACAGTGAGCACAGCGATGTGCATCTTACCTCCTTGGTGGTCCACGTTTTGCCAGTTTTCTGCTGATTCAATGTATGTCATGGTGGCCAACTTCAAGCGAGCCTTGGTCGAGGTGCGTCGCCCAGCCTTGCCTCGTATTGCTCCTTTCCGATCGGCTGGCCAACGAGCCCACATCCTGTGGAACCCACGGAATCACTGGAACTGCCAGGTTTTTTCACTCGAAGATCCCGAATGGACCTGTCGCATCGACGAGGCTGCAACAGGTCTGAACCTGATCGCGCATGACGGGTGTGCTCCCGCTTCAAAGACTCCTGCTTATTGGCGCTCTTTGCAGGACTGGAGGCGGTGCGCTGGAGCCTGGATGGTCGACATGTGTTGACCACGTCATCGTTCAAGGTCGGGCCCCAAGCTCCTATTTTGCTGCTCTGTCCATCGCGTGGATCAGGCACCAGCTACCTGCCATTTGGACGTCCGGCCAGTCCTGTCACTTATGCCTCTCCTCTTATACTGTAGCTGCGCATCACAGTATGGTCCTTGGTGAGCCCACATGTGACTTACATCAAGTTTCCCAAGCATGATCAGCCAGGTGACTTTCCGTCTCCTTCTTCCTTTTACTTTGTTTGTGTTGCTGCCAGCTTCAACCATTGTGTCTTTGATTCCTTCTCCTCGATACCGTGAAGACATGCTGTGGTCCTCAGCAGCCCTTTTTCGTGTCTGTTGTCACGTCCGTGCGTACTTGATACTCACCGAGTGTTGCCCGTTGACAGGCTTTTCGTTAGCCCCAAACGGCCGCTTGATGGCCGTACTTGAGCGGCGACAAGGCCGCGACTATTGCTCAATCATTTCCACCGAGGCCTGGAAACTTGCTTGTGTACGTGCGCTTGGTCGCTTAACAGCCTTGAACACCTCAGTACTCGGCTGCGCTTTTGCTTGATGCCGACAACGCTGGTCACCGCTCACCTGGCCCTTTTGATGATACCCCAACCTCTCCGATGCGGTTTCAATTCATTGCTGCAATCATCCGGCCATCAGCAATTTACCACGGAGACCTCGGATGCACAAGATGTGGTCTGGTCCCCTGACTCGGGCACTTTGGCCATCTACGAGTCGAATCTCTATTACAAGGTGGGGACACGGAGAAACTATTCCGCTTTTATCAATGCGAAATTGAGCTTCGTCGCACTCGGGCGTCTTGACCCATGATTATGATTGCCAAAAATAGATCAACTTTTTCGACGTGCAGGGCCAACTCCTTGGCACCTACAGTGCATACGAAGATGCACTCGGTATCAAGGTATGCGACCTTGACTTCCCAGGACCCGCCGTGCGCCATTGTCTCAAAGGGCTGGCAAAGGTTTGGGTAGCTCGGAGGGAGCACTCATTGGCATGGATCACCCTGTTGTAGGGCGTCTCGTGGTCGCCTTCATCACAATTGATAGCTGTGGGCAGTTATGATGAGCGAGTGCGCCTTTTGAACAATATCAACTGGAAGCGAGTTACCGAATTCGAGCATGAGACCCGACTGGTCGCGTCCAAAAAATGGGTATTTCGCTCTTCGTCGGATAAACTTGGCCGTTCATTTGCTCTGTCGATGACCTTCCCTGCGCGTCATTGGCATGCCATGCCATATGCTCGTGTGATATCATAGACCCTTTTTCAAGAAGAGGCGGTGGAGGGCGACACGCAAGCGCGCCATTTTGTTGTGGTACCTGAACACTTGAAGCTCGTGCGGCTGACGCATAATCCCGAAAAGCCCAACCCTCGCATGGGCATTGTACGTCGCTCTGTCCCTGCATCTGCTTGATATTGTGCAACTGGCTCACACCTCGCACCATGTGTCGCTGCAGGCGTGGTCGCGCTTTAGCTGTGAGAGCCGCTATCTGGCTACGCGCAACGATGCGACAGCGACTTGCCTTTTCATCTGGGATGTGAGCAAGCTGCGCATGTTGGCAGCTGTCAACCACGAGCACCCACTTCGAGACGGCTCCTGGCACCCCACCCGACCCTTGCTGGCAGCCTGCTCAGGCAGTCCTTATATCACCTTCTGGACGCCTGATGGCATCACCTGCGTCCGTACCCCCAGCTCAGGTATCACACCAGACCGCTGACCGTTTTACCTTGGCTTGATGCGTTGTTTTTTTTGTTTTGTTTTTTTTGGGAGGGGTTGGTTGGCTGCATTGATTCACTCACGACTGACCTGCTCCTCGTTTCTATCTTGGACCCTATGTGCAGATGAGATGAAGGTGTCCCACTTGCAGTGGAGTAAGGATGGCACTATGTTGCTCTTGTCTGATAAGAAACGGGCAATGGCCTGCTTTCCCTTGGATGCATTCGGCTTTTGATGAGCTCATGAGCTCTTCCGTTTACGCTCGGACAGAACGTCAGACCCTGCATGCTGCGCATGCCCTGTCGCTAACCCGCAACTTTTACTCAAACTTTTTCCTCAAATGTACACTTGTGAGCCTGCAACCTTTTCCATATTTGGCCCGTAAACGTGTAAAAAGTCTCGTCGAGGCACGTTTGCGCGACACACAAACTTGGGCTTGATTAAGATTCTAATCATCACATGCGTTCACGTCAGTCGAGCACCCTCTTCCGCAACTCTTTGAAAAGTCCTCCGCGCCAATCTTGTAACTGCTCATTTGCAGCACGATTCAACTTTTACATGTTCATCGAAATTCGGATTAAATCCCTCTTTAGGGGAAGCTGTGAGCATCAAGTCGTGCTAGTCATCTCGTATTTTCCAAGATTGACTTCCGAGCCAACAAAAATGGCATTTGCCATCTGACAGTACTCGCGACCAATCAATGGCAAAAGGTGTCAAGCTCCAGCACGTCACGGATTTGACGCGAACAAAAGGGCACAAAAACAATGAAAATCATAGGAATAATAATACTAATAACTGAAAGCTCTAGAGTTTGACAAATTGTGCTCGTGACGAGCATGGTGATGCTATGTTTGCGTCGGTCCAAGATGAGCGTGTACCCTGTGCGTCAAACGTCTAGTCCACAGTCATTTCCTATTGCAGCCCCGGAACGACGGTGAGATGGTTATGTTTGAAGTGATACAACTGCACCGCGAACACCAGCCGCTTACAAGGCGACAAGCTAGGCCGGGATACTGTCGGTGCTGAAACTTGCGCACCACTTCCTCAAGGAAGTGGCATCGCAAATCTATTTCCTTGGGGCCATCACCTGCATTGTTGCGCACGGGAGAAAAAACAAAGTACCAACATGAAAATTTAATCTAGATCTCAAAAAAAAATAAAATAAATAAAAAAAATAAAGAGAGGGAATTCAAGTTGAGGCGCACCGGTGTTGCAAAGGCGCCACGTCTTGTTCTCCTCTCGAGCAAGCAGATGGTGATAGAACTTGCGTTCATACGTGTAGGAAATGACAAACGAGACCGCATGCGGTTGCAAGGAGCGGGCTCGAAACAAGAACCGGCCATTTGCCATACCGCGAGCCCGAAGTTCCGCCTCGGCCTCGCTTCGCGACAGGCTTTCAAGACGCAGCCTAAGATACAGAGTGGGGTTGAAATTACATCGGTCGACTCAGCTCTGGCTTTCCTCTACTACCTCGTGCCAATTTGGATGTAGCACATACCAGGCATGGCTCTCCTGACAATATGCTGACACTTGCATCATCCCTGACGCAGCAGATTGCCCAGGATGCAGTTGAGGCTCGAGCAAGTGCCGTGGCAGTTTACTTGGGCCCGTCTGCATGTCGGGTTGAAAGAGCAGAGGATCAAACGGGGTAAGAAAGATGACAGTCGGCTATGCAATGGCTCGGCACGGCAGTGAATCGGTACGCACGCTATGCAACTGCCCATTCTGGTCGCCAATGCCCAAGTGGAGATCATGAATGAGATCAAGCGGCTCGACAAGTCGGTCACCAGCCACGGATAGGTTTTCATGGCGGAAGAAATCCACCAGTTCTGCGAGTGTAGGGAAATCTGAAGCAGCTCCGTCCACACAGTAGCCCCCCGAAGCGGCGTGTGTGACGCGGTAATGGCGGAAAAAGGCCTTGTCGTGCTTGATGGAAAGAGCATAGTTGAAGGAGCGGTCGGATACGCGCAACAAAAACGTGCCCACGGGTGAATCATAGAGCAAATCCTCGGCCTCACGTCTTGAAAGAAGGCCGTGAAACCACGGGTATACATTGCCATCCGTATCCAGGTGCTCATCCCTCTATGACGTCACGTGCGCAAGAAGCAAAGATAAGCATGACGACGCAAGTAACACGCACAACATAACGAGGCGTGCACTGACCCGCTGCTCAAACTTGAGCCACCATTTTTGAGATGCGCGTATGTCGCGGGACACACTCTTGGCAAAGCGGCGCTTGTCAAGCGGCTTGCTGATTTCAGTGTGCAGCTGTTTTAATGCCTTTTTCTCTTCCTTGGGCGGCATGCTCTGCAGCAGACCAAGTCCGGCAAGCCCACGCCGTTCTTCCTCCTGCAACAGGGTCGACAGCATACCAAACACTTCTTTGGCAGTGTGCGATGCATCGCTCATAAAAGTTTTGGCCAAGGCCAGTTGGTCACGGTAACGTCGAAGATCAGCAGCGTAGCGCCTGCGTGAGAGACACCCACGATACCAAGCTTGGATGGCCGTGGCCGCCGCACCGAAAGGCATCATGAGGGAGTCTAGGACGTCCACATGCCAGTATTTGAGGAAGACTTTGTTCTTGGCCACAATCCAGCCATCCAAGGTGTTGAGGGTGTCAGCCATAGCCTGTTGGGTGTTGAGGCCTGCCTGCTTGGCTTGGCAGGCCGCCATAATCTTGGCGGCATTGTCTCGGGTGGGGGGAAGGCGAGTCGTGAAATCAAAGCAGACACCGCGATAAGCTTGTACAACATCTTCAAAGGTCAAACGATGGGCAAAGCCCTCACGGCGGATCCGGATGGTCTCTAGCATGCCCGTGTATCGGAGCTGTTCGACGACCACTTGATCCTCTACACGATAAACGGCACCCAACGGGTCCAGACAGCGGCAGGGGTTGAGGTTCAGACAAATTTACTAGACGCCCATGATTGCATGCAGCCAAGACTAGGTACCGTAGCACTTGGGCTTTTGAGCACCGTTGGGCTTGATACACCGCACAAAGTGCGGCAAACAGGTATTCATTTTGAACATCAGGGCCGCCAGTGAGCTGGTAAACTGCTCACCGACCGAGGATGACGCCTGCAACACACAGATTCAAGATAGCGATTGAGGCTAGGGCACATGTGCATTGAGGCAGACAAGTTTGATGCTTTTACAAGGCGGCTACATAGGGCGAGGAAAGGGACCAGGACAGCAGTGCAAGGACAAGTCACCAACGTTTTGCTGACGACGACGATTGGCCTGCTTCATGGCCTTGAGGCCACGCTTTCGTTGGGCATTCTCCAAAGCTGTCTCGTAGGTCCAATCATCGCGCTGTGAGCTACGCCGCGACGCGCGACGATAAGCCCTAGGGGTGTTCGGTGTGCGGAGTAAGAAGAGAGAACTAAGGCACCAGCTATCCAGACCATTCAAGTCAAGAAAAGCGGAGGCAATCATTAGGGAGAGCGTGCGTATGTATGTGAAGCGTACTGCTGGCGCATCGATGCCTTGAAAGACATGTTTTGGGTGCGTGTGGGACGTCGACTTCGTGGAAGTAAGATGCTGGCAAGTGATCCTTCGGTTTTTCGAGAAGCACGTCCAGCTGTGACGGCCAGCTGCAAAAAATGACATCAGAATGGTCGTGAGTACCAGTGGAGACGCTATGCAGAGGGGCGTGAACGACCGTACCATCTCTTCAATGTTGGGCTGGAATATCAGCTCAATGAGGGCATTGCTTGTTTTCTGAAGCACAGCCTGCAACTCGCTGGGTAGAGGGTCACGATTCTTTTCAATCATGCCTGTGACATGGTAGTCAATGGTGCCAGCATAGTGCTGCACGCGGAAAACATCGGCAAACTTTGTCCTTGCAAAACGCGCATTGTCTTGCTGTCTTTGTGCCAAATCTTGGAGAAAGGCCTCATCGCGTCCCGTCGCCAAGGCGGTATATTCGCGCAGGGTCGGGAAAATGCCGCTCGTTTCGAAAAACAAGTCTAGAATGGCTTGATTGTCGGTGAATCCTAAGACCTGCACCACCAAAGTAAGATACGTGAGTGACTGTATGGCATTTGCGCACACTCTGGGGGTTCTAGGCAAGTGGCCGACCTCAGAGCCTTGAACACCTTCGTCAAGGCAGGCCTGCATCTCTTCCTGAAAGATGTGCTGGTTAAAGTAATAATGCAGCTGCTCGTTGGCCAAGTTAATGCACAGCTGATCAAATCTGTTTTTTTTTTTCGCACAAAGAGGTCAAGGGCGACAGTGAGAGGTGGGAGCGGTGAGGGAGAGAAAAGCGGGCCTCTTGAAGATGGTGGGGCTTGCGAGAATCGCGCTTCGCGAGTGTGCCGATTACCGACCCATTGTGACGAAAATTTTCAAAACCAAAAATGTCTGCAAAAGGGCAACCCATTGAGCAACACGAAAAGAAATCAACCCTCATCAAACTACCTGTGGAGATGCAGCCGCTGACGCACCGAGAATCCCGATGCAACACTGCTCGTGCTCAGGCAAAGGGTCAGCAGGTCGTAGTCCGCTATCAATCTTTGCTACAATGTATGTGAAGAGTCTGTCGTAGAGCGCCTTGCCAACGGCGTCTCGAGCTATTGCAGCGCGATCTGCGCTAACTCGTTTCCGAAACTTTTCTTTCATGACAATTTTGACTTCTGTCAAGAAGCCATCGCCCAAGCTCTCGGCGGTTACGCCTAGATTATCAGCCGCAGCTTCGAGGAACTGCACAGGCACAGAGAAACCAAGAATGGGATTGAGGCAGCGTTTAGTGAGATGCTTTTTTTAATAATGACAATAATCGGGCTGCTCGGGCCGGCGTACTCACCTCTACATTGCAGATGGCAGCCTCACCCGAGTTGTCATCGTCAAATTCCAGATTGCCAAGCTGTAGAATGGCGGCAAGAATTGATGTCAGAACGCGCAGCTCTTGACTGGAAAACCCAAGATGGTTGAGGGCATCTTGCACGTTTTCCCATTCAGCGGTTTGCTCTGCAGTTGCGTAGCGGCGCTCATAGACATAGCTGTTTCAAGAACAGTGCAAGAGGCGTTGAAGGAGTGTTGATCAGGCTTGTGGCAAAACTGACAACAACTGAGACTAGAGGGGGGCATATGAAGCCGCGACACGCCTCAAGCCTGGACGAGCAACCTACTGCCATTCGTCGGAAAGGTGAAGACCCGTGCGTCGACGTTCTTCGTCATCACAGCCCTCGATGAGCATTTCAAAGATGTGAAAGTTGCGTTCGCCCTCGCCTTGGGACACCACCTGGGTGAAGTGGACCAAGTCACGCAATCAGCCCGGGCCCGGGGTTCACGCGCACGCCTGCAAGGGTTGAGTTTAGGTCTGACGTACCCGCGCCTTTTCCAGCAGATAGTGAGCCAGCCTCGCTCCCACTACACGGCCTTGTGTCGTAAACTACGAGTGAGGCAGAGAGAGGAGAAATCATGACGTGGTGAAGGCATCGCAAAGAGTGATGGCACGTTCTGTTCGTGCTATGATTTGCTTTATTCACCGGGTGTGTGTGTTGGCTCGAGAGAACTTGTTTGCAAAAAGGGCGAATTGGGGCGAGGATAAAGGCCAACCTGTAGTTCGATAAATTTGCCAAAGCGCGAGCTGTTGCTGTTCATCACGGTTTGCGCATTGCCAAAGGCTTCGAGAACAGGATTGGTCTACCTTGTCATTGCGGCCGTGAGGGCGTACATGTTGTCTGTACAAGAGCAACGAGTGAGGCAACACGCGTACCATCATGATGCGCGTTTCCAGTGGGTGGCGGGCACGATCAGCACTGGACGGGGCCTGAGGAGCTTGAAAGCCTCGGGCGCTCACGTCAAGAACCTGTGCAGTTGAGCGCGGACATCAACGGGTTTTGCTTTGAGCAGGAGAGGGATGGTATGACGCAATGCTGGAGCTATGGGGGTGACCAAACACGGCCTGGGGTGCTTGGGCTGACCTGGCGGATAAAGAGGCGGGTGCTGAACGTTTTGCCGGCGCCCGATTCGCCAGAGATGACAGCGACCTAGGTGATGGAGGAGGCACAGAGAGTCAGCAGACTGCAGAATGACTTGGTGCATTGGCATGAAGGGTGTTTGGGCACAGCGGGGTCACCTGGGGCTGACGGGTGCGCATCATCTGTGTAAAAGCGGCGTCGGCAATGGCAAAGAGGTGGGGCGGGTGTTCGGCCTTGGAAGAGACTTTGGTATAGCGCAGGGAATGAATGTTGTCGTAGAGCGGCAAGTCAGCATAGGGATTGACAGCGAGAAGAATGTCCCCAACATAGGTGTAAATGAGGTCACGGGCGAAACGCGTGGCCAGGGCCTGGTTCAAACTGGACTCATTCAGGCTGTCCTGGCGAGCCAGGTCATGAGTGGCTTCCATGGTGCTCAGGTCAGGAATGCCCGTGCCTTGCCCGTGGCTTGATGAGGAAGAGCATCAAGAGCACCTATTGCTCTTGACAGAGAAGTCAATGCGTGCCCAGCATCAGGATGGTTGCGCATGTGCTGGTGCAAGCAGTCGCAGCTTTCAGCGCCAGTTCAGGCGTCGAACTCAGCGCCAAAAAACAGCACCAAATGGGAGGGGCAGCAATGATACAGCGAGGAGTAGTCTCTGCTGCAGAGGAACAGCCCGCAGCAACCTGGGAGCAAACTGAAGTAGACAGGCCGTAACAAGGCCAGGACAAGCCCGTGAGAAAGACCGTGAGGGGCAGGGAAGACAGAGCCCAAACGAGGGGCGAGGATCCAGCTCCACCACCACCAAGCAAAATTCGTGCTAAAATGCCTCTGTGTGTGTGTGTGTGTGTGTGTGTGTGTGTGTGTGTGTGTGTGTGTGTGTGTGTGTTACAAGCAGAAAAAGAAAAAAAAAAAAATTCAAGAAACCGGACCAAACGCGAAGAACCTTACCGCAAATTCCAAAAGTAAAGGCAAAACGCTTTGTAAGGGGATAGAAACGGCTTTACATGTAGTACTTTTTCTTCTGTTTAACCTTGATGCATTGGGTTGATGTCTTTCTTTGGAGTGTGACAGGACGGCTGCCTTGATTGGTAGGTAGGTAGGTGGCTCACCGTGCTCCGTCAGACTGATGAGGGCAAAGTGGTCGGGGGGGGGTAGTAGTCGTAATCGGTGATGGGAATCAACATGAACGAGGACCTGTGCTAGCCAAACGATGGCCAATGCCCGGTTCAGGGGAACATGGTCCCCAATACGACGAAACAATGTAGTGATGAGGTTGGGGCTGGCTAGGGTTGAAATTGGGCGGCCCGCGATATCATGCGAGAGGGAGTGTGGGCCGAGGGTAAGGAAAGAGGCAGAGACAGAGGTAGAACGTTGCGGGGTCCACATCACGCCAATGTGAAGCAGAAGCTCAAACTCTTGTGCACATCAAGTCATACACTGATTCATATGCCCGCTCATCAAGTGCTTGCTTGTTTGCCTGTTTGCCCGTTCGCCCGTTTGCCCAACACGACTCATGCGCGCCGCGACCGACCTCCTCAAACTACTCATGCGGTCTCTAACGTGTCAAGCAACTCAAAGGGTGTTTGTTACCAAGCTGGTGATTTCAAAGAGCTTTCTCATTTTGTCGAGCAGCGTGCCCCCAGAAGGGAGATGATTTGAAGGCGCGTTGGAGAAACTCAAGGATGGCAACTTCAAAGCAACCTTGACCATTCAATTCTTTATTCGTTCGACAGCCCAAAACACTGCCAAGGTTTCCAATATACAGCTTGGTACAACTTATATGGCAGCCTGGAGGTGGTCAACAAAGCAGTCATCGCAAAGAAACAACGTCGCGGAGCATTTGCAGTGTCGCCTGACCATTTTGCGGCATCGATCACCGCGACACCGCACTGCTTGATATTTCTTCTTGACTCGTTTTCCGGGCGTTGATCCTTGAAACGCGGGTAGGCTGACAAGCTTGTGTGGCTTTGTTTGCCTTGCTTTGTGTTTCAGGTAGCCTGTTAACAGTCCATCGGCAACCCGTGTTCGAAACTCAGGCATCGTCATCGTGCTGTTGGGCGTCTCGGGCTTGCACCGGTACTTGTACCAGAGGAGTGCGTTAACCAGTACCACTGAGACAATGAACGTCAGCTGCCTGACATCCCAAGATTTGTTGCCCCACGCTCGCTCAAGATCGTGCTTGTGGCTCTGGCGCAGGCGTTGGTGCTCATCCACAGCGTGGCGCCCTTGATAATAATCTTCGATAGGCTCGTTGCGGCGATATCCAATCAAGGTGCCATCCGCCAACCGCACCTTGCGCTCGGGCCCCATTTGAACAGATGATCCATAGGTGGAGAGCAGCGTCAAGACGTACTTCTGATGATTTATGGAGAACAAGCAGATGCGTTCGCCATCAAGTTGCCCGCTGCGCCCATGCAGCTCGCCCACTGGCCTGCCAGCCATGTCCGTCTGAACAACGTCGCCAGGCACGTACTTTGGCCAAGACCGTCCTTTCTTTGCAACCGTGACGGCAAAAGTGCCTCTTTTTTTGAGAAGCACGAGAGCAGGGAGAGTGCAGAATTCGCTGTCCATCACGACGACGCGCCCTTTGCCCCAGCTGGACTCGGTCATCCGTAAAATCAATGCCGACACTTTGCCATGCTCAGCGTAGCGCAGAGGCAAATGCGCTGTGCGCGCAGCGCCCTCCACCAGCTCCATATGATAAAGAACGCGTGAATGAACATCATACATGGCGTGATAGTCGTTGCCAACAGGGTCAGGCTTGCGCCCAGCGTACGTGTAACCGGGTACGCGATCATTGTGGTGTGTCACTGTGGATTTGTCAAGGCAGACAGTGCAGGAGGGGGTAAACACGGCGCGAGCTCCCATATGCTCATTGAAAGCGTCAACCATTCCACGGATTTGATAGCACGGGTCGTTGCTGCACAAGTTTGGTTCATTGAGACGTAGCCCTCCGGCGATCTCTCGGAATCGACGCAGCGACATCACTTGAGTGAAGAGCGGCCGACGATCAAACTCGTCGTCGTATGGCTCAAAGAGCTCCTCCACCGGGAAAACATGGTTTGAAGCCATTATCTGCAGGCCGATGAATGCGAGCAGCTCCTCCTGTGTAAGATGGATATCCACACTGCCTCGAACGACGTTTTCAAGGATACGTGGAGGGAGAAAATGCATGAAAAAGGTCATCGGATCACCCGGTTGAAGCAGGCTGTCTAGTTGCGCCGCTCGCGGCGTGAAGCACGCACGATCAGTAGCCACATCCACGGTAGCACTGCCCCACTCTCCAAAAATCGATGGGCTGGTCGATGGTGGGGCGCTTGCAGGCGGTGAACATGCTGAAAGACATGCGTCGGTGGGAATGCCAATGTCGGGCTCAACAACATCATCTTCAACGCCCTGTAGCTCGGCTGGTATGGACGCCGTTAAATCTGCCGTACTTGAAAGTCGATCACCTTGGCCGAGCATAGCTGTGACGTCGCTTGCTAGTGTTGGACCCACATTTGGCTCTGGCCCTGAGATCCGGGCGGCCATGTATGCTTCAGCCTTGTTCAAAGTGATTTGAGGGGCAGGCAGGGCTTCAACACGTAGCTTGCGAGCATATAGCTCGCCGTCAACGTCGGCATGGAGAGCAGGGTGACTGGCACCACATCGCCCCGCACGCGTCGCTCGGCCTGGCCAACGGCCACCAAACCAGTAATTCGGTGACGCCCATCACTCCCAAGTAATGACGCAAGGTGCTGGGGGTACAACATGCGTCGTGGGGTGCTCACGTGAGCCAAGAGGGGCGTTGGGCGAGCCATCCGACTGCTCACAAAAAAAGAAAAAAAAAATGACCGTTACTTTTTTTTTCCCTTGAGACTCTATGTGATACCATTCATAAGGATCACCATTTTGTTCCCCAGAAACACCGTGAGAGCCTCATCCTCTGCTTCTGGTGGCAGCACGGGCGTGATTGCTGGCGCAGCTGCCGGCGCCGTGGTTCTGCTGGCAGTATTGCTTGTGCTGATTGTCTTGCGTTGCCGCCGCCGTGCCACACCCGCCGTTACACGCTCCTTTGCTTTTTTTTTTTTTTTTTTTTTTTGTTGTGTTGTTAACACAAGCGATGGGTGGATTTACCCCAAAAGGGTAAATCTTCCAACTTAATGTTAATTTATTTTGAAAAAAAGTTTCACACAACAGCAGCAGCAGAAGCTGCTGTTTTTCCTCCATAATTGAGAATGAGGGTCACCAACTGGCAGCGACCCGGGTTGATGCGACTTGGGGTATGCGGCTCGGGTGGATGCGACTTGGTGTGTGCGACTCGGTGAATGACCGTGTGTGCATGGTGGTTGTCCAGGCGGTATAGAGTCTTGGGCGCGTCTAATTGATACACGGATGGTGTTGTTTTCTGCTCCCTCTCGTGCATTTGGTGTGTCACGAAGGGCCCAAAGAGGCAGAGATCTAGCCCAAGGACCCTCTGCGAGAGTGTCGCACGTAGCGTCCAAGCAATTCAAGGCAGCGATGATGATCTCCCAGCTACCCAGCTACCGAGGCATGGTCTCAATTTAGAGACCGTTTTCACACGGTCACTATGGACGAGCGCCGCCAATGAACGCACAATTGTTCTAGCAACACGCACACACACACACACACACACACACACACACACACACACACACACACACACACACACACACACACACACACACACACACACACACACACACACACACACACACTCAACATCAGCTCGTGCGTTTTATGACTTTTTCAATTTTTCACAGGGCGTCGGCCTTGCCTTGCCTCGTGGGACTTCTCCTCCTGGTTCAGAGTCTGGTGGTCTTGACGACGCAGGCCAACGGCAGGCGTGGGCTCAGGCGAAGGGGGTAAAGAGACAGACAGTCAAACAGGCTCACTTCGGATCACGATACATGCAAACCTTCTCGCAAATTTTTTCCAAGTCTTTTTATTGTTCAGCCGCGAGAGCAGTCCTCCGTGCAGACGAAACACCATTTTACTCGGCTGGCACGCTCCTGATGCTTTGCATGAAGATCCCGTGACGCGGCATTGCACAGCATTCCAATTTGGACGGTGCCTTATACTTCTTCAGTGGTGGCCCTCGCTGGTAGCTTCTCTCAGTCAGCGTCGTTTTTGCCGTCAAGGGCACGATGCGCCGCTGGTTTTGCTCTGCAGCCCTCGTGTTGGCTTGGATGATCAGCTGCAATGCAGCACCAGCTGGGCCGCTGAATCTGGTATGTTGGCTGTCGTCACATGCCTCATCACTGCTTCATCCCGCCTGATTCTTCTCTGGGTCGCTTTGGATCCACACTCATTCCTGCGCCCCCGTCACCAGCGTCGAGATGCAGGAGTCAACGCTTCGCAGACTGAATCCAAGGATGCCGAACGCGCACAGGATTACCGCGATGCGACCATCGCCTTGGGCGTTCTGTTCGGTTTGGCCTTGGTTTTGATTGTGGTTCTTCTGGTATGGAGATGGCGCGCCCGCCATGAGCTTTATACGTTCCACGTCGACATCAGCACCAAGAAGACAGCTCATTTCTCACACCCCGAGCTGAAGCAGGGCCACGACTTGGGCTTTCGCATTCGGGCACCTGGCGGGCCCTACGTTTTGGGACCAGATCTGCATTTGGAGATGAACAAACGCTACTACTTTCAGCTTCACAACGTTCCGGGCGAGTATGCGCTGCAGATTACCCACTCGCCCGTTGGTGCCGATCAAGGTCACAACATGGCCGAAGGGACGCATGTTGTTCACGGCAACGGTCGGCTAGAGGTTGACACGGCGCGGCTGCCGGCTGGACCACTGTATTATCAGGCCGTGCGCTTTGAAAAAATGGGAGGTCGCATTTTTGTTCACAATCGGCCAGCTCCAACCACCTTGCGCCAAGGCACCATTTATGAGCTGCCCACTCCCAGCAAGCCCACACCAACACCACCAGGTACTGGATCCGGGACCTTGTCAACCCTGCCCACCCCCGGCGCGAAGCCAGTCTCAAGCAATGGTGCTTCTTTTCGCCATGAGAATCGCAACCATGCTCTAATGCGCTCGCGCACTGACCTCGACGATGCCGATTGGGACTCGGGCTGGGACTTGCGCTTGCAACCGCGCTGGGTCCCGGCATCTGCTCGAGTTGTCGATTCAGACTCGGAATCAGAGACAGGGCCTCCGGTCCCACCACGCCGCCGTGCCAAGGCACGCCGCAATACGAGCACGACGACGAGTGCCCACGTCGAGGGCGTGATGCGCATTGACGACGAAAAGGTGTTGCGCTCCTTTCGCAAAGGGTCCGGGCCCCGTTCTACCTCCCATGATTTGTGACACGCCAGCCTTTAGTCCGTTTGTCCTGTTGACCATAGCATGATGATGTGTGGCGACCAAGAGCCACATGTTGAGTATTTGTGTGGTGTGGTGTGGTGTGGTGTGATGTGCCTGTATTTGTGTTTGCGTTTGTGTGCGGGGCAAGCATTTCTGCTGTATCCTGAGATAGTTTGGCCAGAAAATGTTTCGATTAAGAAGGGGGAGGCGGGTGGCCCGACCTCTCCGCCAGTGATAGGTGAAGGAGAACAAGAGAATATTGGGTTAGTGCGCACGAGTTGATTGCTAGCTGGACATTTTTGCTTTGGCGGCAGCCCTTTGTCATCATCTTGTTCTTCACGTTGGGGGGAAAAAGCTGGCCACAAAATCCACGCTCAGCGCAGAAAAGAGAAGAGCAGGGCGCGCAGGGGGTTCAGATCAATTGGTTATGCAGTCCTAGTCTCCTTTCGGCTTGACCACCTTCAAATCTCCTCGTCAGAAACAACAACTTTGAGGCGAGCAAAAAAAAAAAAAAGCCATCAAAAACCAACAGTCACAAAACCCGCTTGAACAAGGCTGCAAGCAAAGAAGGACATTGCTTAATAGGACTTGTTGTGGAGGAAGCTGGTGAGCATGTGAAGAGCCTGAACGGGCTTGTGCTGGGGCACGAGATGACCGGCACCCGCAACGGTGAGGAAAGTGAAATCGGTGCTGTTTGAGTCGTACACGGTCACGTAACCGGCGAGGACGTTGCCAGCATTGGGCTCGTCACGGCTGCCCGAGGTCCAGGGGCGCCAGGCCTCCTTGACAGGGAAGCCGAGCTGGCGGGTCCACTCCTCTGAGCCCCAGTAGGGCACACAGGCATCAACATTGCCCGAGTAGATGAGCATGCGGTACTTCTGGGCGAGCGTCTTGTAGAGGTCGCGCAGGTCAGCAGCGGTACGGCGGTAGCTCTGTTGGCCTTGCTTGGAGACATGAAGGGCCTTTTGCACGTCGTCCTGGGCGAGCCAGAGGTCCATGACCTTTTGGGCACCGCAGGTGTAGTCGTTGAGGGCACCCTGAAACTCGGAGAGCTGGGGGTGGATAGAGTAGACCTGGCTGCCCGAGGTGTTGACGACGCGGGCCTGGCCAATGCGGCGGCGAATCTCGGCGTGGTCCAGGGTCACCTGATCGTTGCCGCAAGTGTCGTAGATGTTGTAGATGTCAAAGTTGCCAATGTCCTGGTTCATCTTGGCAAGGATGGCCTCGCACTTGATGTTCTCGGTGCCGTTGAAGTGGTTGCAGGCCTCTTGGATCTCGGCGTACATGGTTTGGGGGAACATGCCATGGCCGTAGTAAAACTCGACGTTGATGCGGTCGACTTCAGCACCAAAACCGCAGGTGCCGACTTCGTTGCCCCAGCAACCATCACCAATGGCTGCACCCTTGAAGTTGGGGATGGAACCACGGGCATCGATCTCCTTCATGATTTCGGGGATGTAAATGCCGGCGTAGCTCTCGCCGGTGATGTAAAAGTCGTTGCTCTTGAACTCGCTGAAGCTTTCGAACCAGCGCTCGAGGAAGTCGGCACCCTCCTCACCGACGCTCTCGTCGGTGTTGACGCAGGACACGCCCTACACGCGAGTGAAGGCATCCAATCCAAACGAGTGTATGAGTGTAAGTCGGGATCCGCTGGCCATGCAAGCGGAAGTGAAAGTGGGAATTGGGGCTTGGGGTGTCTTTGCATCGAAGAGCGTACCTCGGCGCAGTAGCTAAAGCCGACGCCCTTGGGCTGCTCGAGGTAGAGGACGTTGGCGACCTGGGACCAGGAGTAGGGGTTGTAGATGAGGTTGATGTTTGAGCCGTTGATGCTGTCATCGTTGGTGTTGAACTGGCCGTTCTCCGTGAGCAGACCGATGAGGCTGCTGGAGCCGGGGCCACCTAAGCAAGCGACGTAGATGCGGGTGTAACCAGGCACATGGTGAGCGGGGTGATGCTTGCCTGGAGAAAACACAACGAAACAAAACAAAACAAAACAAAACAGCAGAAACTACAGCGAGAATGGCAACGCCAGGAAACTGGATGCCAAGGGGAACAAAGGGGGTGGGCACAAGGGGCTAGGTGGCTGGCATGTAAACGCTGCTATCGTACCGTTGAGCCAGAGGACGACGGGATCGTTGCTGGGGTCGTTCTCCGACTCGATGAACCTGTTGGCACGCCAGGTATTAGCGGGGTGGGGTATCGGGGATGCCATCTGGGTGGGAGGGTGATCTGACCAGTAGTGGAGGTAACCAGTGGGGTTGTTTTCCTTGCCGACGGGGATGTGACCGCTGTAGTGCTTGGAGGGCAGGGCCTTGTCCCAGCCTAGATGGATGACGATTCGAGCAACACAGCACGGATGGTGTGCGTCGGGATCAGCCCGAGACATCACGTTCCTCGAACAGGGATCGACGGGGCGAAGAGGCAAGCTGCATGACTAAGACTGACCAGGGAGGCTAGTGACCTCATCGGCAGCGGGGGCGGCATGGACGGCGACCAAGGCCGCGAGCGCCACGAGCATCGCAAAGGGGGCCATCATGATGATTGATGACGACCGTCCTGTCAATGGGGCGAGCATTCGAACAGAGAGAGGATCATGAGATGCATTCACGCGTTTTTAGGCCAGGCAACCCAAAAACAAGGAGACAACCATGGAACACCAGCGCACGCAAAAGCCGGGCGCTGGTGGGCCTCTGGTTGGTTGGTTGGTTGGTTGGGGGGGGCCCACGGGCGAGGGCGAGTGGCAGCCAGTGACCGGCGCGGGTGCGGGCGAAAGGCGTGCGCACCACGACAGAGAGAGAGAGAGAGAGAGAGGAGGGTACGAGAGGAGCAAACGTACCGAGTAATAAAAAATGATAAAGTGTGTGTAGTTTTCAAGCGAATCAGAGAGATGATGTCTTTTGAGTGCCGCCGTTCAGAGGCGCATAGGGTGTGTGTTTGAGGATTTGTTTTGTGTGTTTTGGAGGAAAGAGACCATGTGCTTATGGGAGCGTGTTGGGACTTGCTTGGGAAACACTTTGGGGATGCTTGGGATCGTCGTTTTGTGTTGGCAACAACACAGCAGAAAGCAGCAGAGCATAGAGAGCAGAGGAGAGAGAGCAGAGCAGAGAGAACAGAGCATAGAGAGAGCAGAGCAGAGAGAGCAGAGAGCGCGCAGAGAGAGCAGAGAGCAGAGAGCGCGCAGAGAGAGCAGAGAGCAGAGAGCGCGCAGAGAGAGCAGAGCATCGAGAAGAGCATCGAGAGCATAGAGAGCAGAGAGAGCAGTGCAGAGCATAGAGAAGAGGGATCAGAGCATAGCACAGAGAACAAAGGACAAGAGAGAACTCCTCCTTCGCAAGTATGACGTGGTGAGGAATTAGATGAGTTTTCCATAATTGAATGAACAATGGTAAGAGGCCGGACAATTCGAGCCGAGCTTTACATGTGAAGGGCACGTGTTGTGGTGTGGGTACGATCCGGCTCGAAGTGGTGCCCACAGTCAACGATATTTAGGACGAATTTGAGGGTTTACACCCACTTATCACGTCATCCACGAGTTAAGGATGCCCAGAACTGGCGGCACGCGACCCCCATCAAACGATGGGTGCATGTGGGCATTGATGCTGGTAGAGACGGATCGTTACCACATCAGCTACCCCCACAACCTCTGGACTCGCAAAGTATGCTGTTGATTCTGGTTGTTGTCGCGTGGCGGTGTTTGTGGCCCATAGTCAAGGCATGACGAACCACGTCAACTGCGAGTGGGCTGGTGTGTGCATCGATGTCGGAAACTTGACCACTCTCAAGTCAGGAATGGGTCACAGACAGAAATTTAGAGATTTAGAGAGAGATTTCGAGGTTTAGAGGAGTGAGGAGGGCCTCATTTGTGTGTTTGACCGAGAATGTGCGTGGAAGACGTCAAGGCTCATGCCTCAGCTCACCAGTGATTCGGCTGCATTTCATTGTCTAGCAGGCAGGGAAACACTTCTCACTCAGGTCGCAGAGTCACTCGCAAACGATCACCCACATTCCAAACACATGGCGAGACCCTCAGAGCCCAACAGGACTTGGTGTGGGATAGATGAGAACCATACTTTCACCCATCTCATCCCATATTCGCTACCCTTGCAACTGCAATGAGAATTTTAGAGAGGCTTCGAGAGAGGTGATGCTACTGAGAGATGGTGTCGCATGGCTACATGACGCAAACGCAAAACCCCAAGCAAAACAGAGATAGCCACCCCCGACAACCACTCTACAGAGAGTCGCTCATCGACGACCGCGACAAGAAAAAACAAAAAAAGCAGCAAACGCACCCCTGCTACTCCCACTCTGCCGTCGACCACCCGATTCTCTAAACCACAAACGGCGCCAACGCTCCACCTCTGACCGCCTCCCCAACCCCTGAGAAAAATCGGCAATCTACCCCCGCCTCTCCACCCCGACCTCTTTGCAACCCTCCCCCCCTCTTCTGCTCATCCCCCCTCCCGCGCTGCCCTCGCCCGCCCCGCCACGCGGCACGAGCCTCCACATATCCGAATTTCCAATCGTCCACACCCCCCCTCCCACCACCACCTCTCTCTCTCTTCCTCCGTGTGTGTGCCTGTGTGCGGAACACGTTGCCCCGTGCCGCATCATTTTTTTTTTATCTATCTTTTTCCTCTCTCTCTGCGTGCGCGCGCGTGTGTGTATTACTGTTGCGCTCACACACACACAACACACCCTCTCTCCCTCACACTCACACACACATACACACACATACACATACGACACTTCCACACACACTCTAATCCCCAAAACATCGCCGCCGCCGCTGCCCACACACACGCACACATCTCTCTCTCTCCCTCTCTCTCTCTCTCTCACACGCACACACCTCGTGCTCGGATTCAATTTCCTTCCGCTGTTCCCAACTCGGACAGGAGACGGCAAGGCTGGAAGCGGAGGGAGCTCTCAAATGGCTCTGATTGACTTGCAACTCCGTTTCGCCTTTGCCCAGTTGGTTCGTCGTCTTCCTCTGCGGGGAACCAACTAGTGGACCGTTGTGCTTGTGTTGGGCTTGTGGTGCTCGTGGCCAATTCCAGCCATTTTCCTCGCCCCTCGCCTCCACGCACACCCCCTCTGTATCTCCTGTACCTGCTGCCTCTTCTCCGCAACCGCTTCCTCGTCGTGGTGCGGACCATCACATGGCCCATGCGCTTGTGACCTGACCCTTCCGTCACACGCCGGCAAGCATGTCGTCCAAAGCCAGTACGTCCCGAGGCCCAGTGTCCCTTCTTTCCCTCCCGCCTCGCTCGTCTTTTGGTTCTGCTGACGCTCTCCAGCCCCGCAGAGCCCTCTTCTTGCTTTCGAACTCTCTCTCTCTCTCTCATCTCTCTCATCCTGGTGGCTGCGCTTCTGCCTCGGCCTTGCATCAGCTTGCTCCGCCTGCGCTTTGCAGGTGGACGAAACCCAATGCGCAAAGTCCATGGCCAAGGAAGGCCGCCCGACTCTGATTTGTCCCAATTGTTTACAATTTTACGTCGCCGCCCTCTTCAACCCCGCCATGCAACAACACGCACCCGCCCCAAACTGCACCCTGGATCGCCAACTCCTTTCCGTCCGCACTTGCTTTGGTTCGGCCAACATGTCATCTCCTGGCCTTGAATGCTGCCCAGCTCCTCCGAGTGCCCCGTGTACCAAAACGGGGCTCGGCACCCCCTGCCCCCTTGTCCCTACTTCGACTCACGTTGCCCGTATTGCCCGTCTCGCTCGGTGCCCATCTTAGGCTGCTTGTTTCAGCGTTGCGGTGACGTTGGTGCTCACGAATGCGGCTCACCCATCATCAACCAGGCGCTCATGTCGTGCATGATGCCTCGTTTCATGCCCAACCAAGGATTTTCCATCTTGCCGGGCACGGCTCCCACCGGCGCCTCACCCGCAGCCATGAACCTGGCCGTATATGCCAGTATGGCCAACGCCCTGAATAACCAGCGCCCCCCCTCGCAACTTCAGCCACAGCCCGTCGCTTCCATCAAGCAAGAAGCCACCCCGGCTGATCCAGCCCTGCAATCCCCGGCTGCACCGGCCAGTGCTCGTCCCGCACAACACCCCACCCAACAACCCACCAAACGCAGTCTTGCCCAAGCCCAAACCAAGAGCGCCAACTTGGATCACTCGCGCGACATGGGCGCCGCGGAAACTCTGCTTGGCCTGCAGCGGCCCAAGCGCTCCCCCAACAGCCAAAACAACGACCAGGATGAATCAGACGATCAGGAGGATGTGCCTCGTGCCTCCAGCAAGCGGCCCAAAGCCAATAGCAAAGCCAGCTCAGATACCTCCAGTACTCCCACGCCGTCTCAGCATCGCGCCACGTCCCTCTTGTCACAAATGACTGCTGCAGAAGCCACCTCGGTTCCTGCGAATCAATCACCTGCTTCCCTCCCAACTGCCGGCCGCGCGACGTCCTCCCCGACCCTTGATTCAAGCAACTCGCGCCCTCGCAGCAAGATGCGACGCGCCCCCACCTCACGTGGTGCGTCTGCTTGCTTCTCTCCTGGTCTCAGTTTGGATACCAGACTACTGTTTGGTTTGGCATCTCACCTGCGATCGGCCGCTTCTTCCTCGGCCGCGTTCTGACCTGCTATCCATAGGGTTTTGCTTTGGTTGCTGGAAGAGCAAAGAACTAGAGGACCGTTATGCCCTCAACAGCACAACCAAGTTTAGCCTGTGCAACGCTTGTCGCAAGACGCACCTGACCAAATCCGTTATCCCCCACTTTGAGCGACTAGCGCGCCAGCCCCCGCAAGCGGTCGACCGTAGCACTCAACTGCGTCTCCGCGATGGTGCGCACATGCCCCCCNCCCCCCCCCCC